AATGTGTTCTGTGAACAACAAGAACAGCTCTACTTTGGTCCATAAATGGGTGATCCATTATTTTACTTATCAGGATAAGATGATAAAATACTCAGCTCTATTGAGTAATGTTGCCATAGTTGAAATTTGAATAGAAATGATGATAATATTTGAAATTTTAGTCTAAAGGAAACAGATTGTGGGACAGCCCCTGAAATATTAAACCTCTTCACCATGCTGGCTGTGTTTACAATGTAGGACTGTTGGGGCGGATGTAAATTGAAACAAACCGATCACGTCTTGTTCTTTGACAACTGACAAGTGGCTCAACCTCACACACCTCATCCCTCTCCTTGCATTACTGCGCCGCTAACAGCTGTTAGTGGCCAGCGGCACTACTGCCGCATGACAAAGTCCCACTCTTTGAGCATAATGCAGGATCATGTATTATGCAGCATCACGGGAGACGGAATCCTCGTTGCCAAGAAAGTGCAAAAGGGAATCAAAAAGGCAGCGTGACCGGCGAATTAAAAAAGACAAGGGTCAGCATTGGGGTTGCCTTTCCCAGGTGGAGAGAGCTGCTGAAGGAGAAAGCTAATACAATCACAGGCCAGCGCTAGCAGCAGCGCAGTGATGCGAGGAGAGGGATGAGGCTGTTAGCGACCGGCGAATTAAAAAAACGAAGGCCCACATCGGGGTAGCCTTTCCCAGGTGGAGAGAGCTGCTGAGGGAGAATGGTAACTTAATGCAATCACAGGCCAGCGCCGCTGTTGGCTGTTAGCCGCTGTTAGCGGCCAGTCGCTAACAGCCTCATCCCTCTCCTCGCATCACTGCGCCGCTGTTAGCTGTTAGCCGCTGTTAGCCGCTGTTAGCGCTGGCCTGTGATTGCATTACCATTCTCCCTCAGCAGCTCTCTCTACCTGGGAAAGGCTACCCCAATGTGGGCCTTTGTTTTTTTAATTCGCCGGTCACGCTGCCTTTTCTATTCCCTTTTGCGCTTTCTTGGCTTCCGTCTCCCATGATGCTGCATATGCATGATCCTGTATTATGCTCAAAGAGTGGGACTTTGTTTCAAATTTGCCAGGGTAGTAGCGAAGCGCCTCTTGCTCCTCTCCTTCGGCTCCTCAGTCACGCAGTGCTGGCCTGGCTCTCAACGAAAATGCCGAAGGCGGTGCTGTATGTCCCTTGCCGGCGGGTGTATTCTCAAGATGGCGAAACGTAATGGAACCCCACAGACGACTTACCCGCACAATGTACAAACAAATCTGAAATTCTCCTTTTACGAGAATAAGTCAGACTATTGGTGGAGGTAATAGTACACCAATGATGACATATTTATGAATGCAGACATCAATTTTTGCCAATAAACAACTGAAAATGTTACACAATGTCCTTTTAATTAAACACGACTGTACTTCACAAAAACTGTACCTGTTTAAGTTTATGATGTGCCCATCATCAACATTTCTTTCTTTCATTGACTGATACGCTTCACGGGTGCATATACACTATGCAAGAGCGTTCACCTGCAAGACACCAAGAAGGAAAGCAACAAGTTAAGACATCAGTACCTTCCAGTTAATGGCCTCTAGTCTGACGGTGGAGAACAGCTGGCAACAGAAATTCCATTCATACACAGAAAGGTAACTCAATCATTCACATATATGAGAAAACTGCTTTTTAGTCACTTTGAAAATTATAAATGATTCAGCCAAAAGGTATAGGAGACATTTCCCTATTTTCAGGTGATACTGAACTCAGTGGCAACCTGTTCCGCCTCTCGCCCAGTGTCAGCTGGGATAGGCTCAGGTTACGGAAACAAATGAATGAACTCAATGTTTCGTTTTTGATTTGCTGAATGTTTTCTTTGTGTGCAATTTGGTTTGCTTAGAGGTCACTGTATCTGAAAAAGTGAAGCTTTACTGATCTATAATATTGTCATGTTTCACTATTTTTGACTTGTCATGGTGGGAAAAAAACCCAAAGATGTAACTAATAACTTTAACAATGGCTCTGTTCAGTTCTATTCAAATGTCCCAGTGAGGCATGACAGAGACAGTATGACCAGTACCAGAACCCTGAAACTGAGGCAGCTACATTTTGTCCTGTATTTTAAAAACATATATTTTATCATATTCGATTTCTAAAATAAAAACACTTGTGATCTTACATCCAGCATGTTCTTCCAGCCACTGGTTTTGCCATTCAGCAGTGACTCTGAATGAGCCAAGCCAGCGTTGTTGATGCACACATCCACCCCCTTGTGCTGCGCCTTGATGACAGCGAACATGGACAGAATCTCTTCCTCGTTGTTCAAGTCACACTTGAAAGGCACCAAAACACTACTGTGGCCTGCACTTTGACACTCGGCTGCCAGTTTCTGAAATGGAAAACAAATAAAGTTGTCAGACAAGCAGCTTTACAGTCACCTCAGTTGATTACACAATCCACCTCATGTGTCCTTCAATGGTTTATTTTGACATGAACACAATTACTGTAGATCTAGATTTAGGGAAAACTTGGCTTTACATCTAATGCAACTGCAAGAAAAGTATTTAGATGAATACATAATCACCTTTTGAGATTTTAGGGGCTCCAGAGACTTATAGGCTAAAGTTTATCAGTGAGCCTTTTGAGAGAGAGAGAGAGAGAGAGAGAGAGAGAGAGAGAGAGAGAGAGAGAGAGAGAGTGCGTGTTTTGCAGCCAACAAAGATACATTTTACAAGTTTTAATTAGTTAAACTACTTTGAGAAAGACATCGAAACAACAGGTGCATTTATCAACAATCATTAAACAGACGTTTAGCTAGACAAGTTAAACTTAATTTCACACTGGTTTGTATTTCTCCCACGACCTCAGGGTGCAGAAAAGTCTGCACTATGATGTTCAGAACAAACCTGTATTTTTTCGAAGTCCCTGGCACAGCCCATCACCTTCATGCCGTACCGGACCAGCTCCTTCGCTATGGCCGCCCCGATCCCGACCGAAGCTCCGGTCAACAGAGCCACTCTGCCCCTCCAGCGGTTCATCACAGTCCACACACCGGTTACCTACTGTGGGTACAGAAGCCTCACGTTAAACGAGGAGAGGGACACCGAGTTTGGCAGCAGAGACAGAGGCTATCCTAAACTCCTACAGTGGGGGGCTCCTGAAGGCAGCACAGCGGAAGTGGTTTACTTCCGCTCATCATAGACATATATGCCGCTCATGCTTATTACGTCATTGTGCTGCATTCAGTGAAAATTTGCGCTGTAGGATTCCATGAGGTGTCTCTTAAATAAACCCCTCACAGTGCTACAGTTACGATTTTATTCCATTAATATTCTATATTTCCATGTTTGTTTGTTTTTTATTACATTTGATTTACAATATTGTTGTGCCCTCCCTGTAATTCTACTCATGCGTTTCAACATTATACTTGCACTTACCTTTATTCTGCATGTACAGCAGCCTGCATACTTTTTGTACCTCTATTTAATTTTACTTCCTCTGTATATTTTATTTTAGCATGAATTAAAATATAGTATATAGGCCTTTACAGTTTACTATGTATGTATTCATTTTACTTTGTATATTGGGCATCTTTGGCACACACACACACACACACACACACACACACACAATCCTTCTAGATGACTGTCTTTTTTAAAATCATTGCTTATTTTATCATACACTTACAATACACCTATGTTTCATGATGCAACAGATATTTTTTAATGTAAACGTCTCCATATGTATGTATATGTGTTTGTTGAACATCTGTATTATGTTTGTACGTTTTTGCCACTGTTTTCTTTTCGTTCTTTGTCTTGTGCAACTGTGGCACATGAATAACCTACACTTCTGTCCATCTCCCATAACAGAAATGATTTAATTCAATCTAACAAAATATGATACGTAAAGGGCAACAAGCATTTTAATATCCAGCCCTTGTGTCAGATTTGTCATATCTAAGCAGTAATACAAATCATCCATTCATTATATATCTTCACTTAAGATAAAGATTCAAGTGGGAAAGGCAATTTTTTCTTAACATAATTTGATAGTGAGTTCCTCAGCTGGTTAGGCTCTGTAGATAGATATTTAAGGGGCTAATTTAAGCATGCAGATCTTATGAAACACATCATTACACGGAGGAATATGATGTATATAAGTGCCATATTAGTGAAAATGTTCTACTTTTAGCAGTATGCAGTCATACAAGTGCTAATATTTGTGCTACCGTAAAATAATGTCAATAATATAGAGATGCAGACACAGAACACATTGCATGTTAAATAACTATATGTAATCTAATATAAATAGATATTAAAAAGTAAAAATAGCAATACCAAAAAAACAGCAGTGCATGTGGCCTTGCAGTATTACTTGTACAAGGAGTAGCAGTAATAAGTAATTAAAGATGAATTATCATCTGTCATTTACCCATAACTTTACCTCCTAGAAAACATTATAGTAATAGTTTACCCAAAAATGGCATTTTGCTATAAGTCATGCACTGTTACCTTGATTTATTTTTCTCACATGGCTCCAAGGAAAATATATTGATTTAATGATTGACTGGGGACTGTGTTTAACAACAGCAAAACTACATCAAAACATCCATCTATAAAATCTCTGACAACTCATGCAGTACAAGCCAAGTCTCATTTAGGCTCAGTACTTCCCAATTACATGCATTTTGTTTTGGGTGAAGTATTCCTTTAAGTAAAGAAAATCCATGTTGCACCTAAATAAGTTCACCATATCTAATCAGGTGAGATTTTTCTGACAAATCTAATCTTCATCTTTCAAGCTGTGAGTTTTCAGGCCAAACCCTTGTGAATAAGGGTCCATTCACTATCGTATGGATATCCGTCTTCAGATATCAGTGTTTGCTGTGTATCAGCGGTCATAGAGAAATCAGGAATCATAAAAACTAAAGCATGTGGCGTGGGCGGGATTGATAGGTTGATAGGTGGGTCTACCTGTCTTATAAGAGGCTGGTTGAGCTCTGTTTCTGGCATCATCCTTCACAACCCTCAATTTTATTCAGGCACACTCTGACAGCTACAGTGCAGTCACAATGTTGCTTGCACCTGTGTTATTTTTGTTTGCTTCTTCCATGACGATTGTCTCAGGGGCAGGTATGTTGTCTAAGGAAGAAAAACAAATTAATTGATTCAGTATTTTAAAAATGTATTCAGTGTGCAGAGACCTTTTTTGGTGGCATTTTGTTTGCTAAAAAGTTGCATGATATGAAATATTGATGTTTGGGCTTTTTATTTACAAATGAGAAATTTCAAACACATATTTTCTCTTAGTTTGCTCTACAGAGTATTCTGCAACTGCGGGTTTGGATTTGTTCTTGCTGTTTTTATTTTCAATTATGACTTATTTCAAACCTGTTCTTGTAGATTGGTGCTACCAGTCCCAAGTTACATGTAGTCACGCCTGCACAGGTAAACCTCAAGATAAGCTGCTGACCATAATATTTTAAACAAAAGAAGAAAACATACAGTAGTAAAGTTACTTTTGTCACCCTCCTGCAGGTCCAGCGGTATGGGAAGTGGTTTCACAGCACTGCAATGGCAGACGTCAGTCTCCAGTTAACATTGTTACAAGGAGAACCAAACCAGATGAACGTCTCACTCCTTTTGAGTTCATTGGCTATCAAGAGGCTTTTCATGGACGCCTCCTAAACACCGGCCACACAGGTACGTCTTTGTAATAAATGTAGTATCATTTACAGAAGAAGATTTGGTAAAAGGACAATAAGTCAACTAATGATTTTAAATCAGCTGTAAAATTGTCATAAGGCAGTTACTTTAGCCATAAACCACTGAGATAATAATCTTATATGGTTCACAAGGCGGCAAAAAGGATAATAATATGATAATGGTATAATAAACTAGAATTCCCGCCTTACAGTTGTATGCCACCTCAAACCAGTCAATTTGCAGTTACAGTTTACATCCATTTCTGTCCAGACTCATATGTAGCCATGACAGTAGACTATGCTTCAGATATGGATGTTGATGCAAAGTAGTTACATCTTCTCAAACATGGATGCTTCACACACATCTTAAACATGGCAGCACAGAAGGTCTATACAATCTGCACAGTTTCAAGATCAGTGTCACCAATTCAGTATCTGACCGAATGTCTCTCCTTCTGTTCTTGAGTTATGATGTTGAATAAGGCCAGAAAATTGTTTTTGCAGAACATTATGATGTCACAGTGAAGCTGACCTTTGACCTTTTGGATATAAAATTTCTTAAAAATGTCATTCAGCATGTCTAACTTCATTATTTCATTCTATTAGACATTGGTGTGAAATTTTGTCATAATTAGCATATAAATTCTTGAGTTATGGACAAGAACAGGTTATGTGAGGTCACAGTGACTTTGACCTTTGATCATAAAAATCTAAACAGTTCATCATTGAGTCCAAGTGGGCGTTTGTGACAAATTTGAAGAAATTCCCTCAAGGCAATTTTGAAATACAGTCTGAATACACACTGAATACTGAAGCATAAAGATGAACAAAATATGAAACGTGCAAAGAAGATACTTGAGCCTGAAGAAGCTGCAAATCATTGATAATCTTCTAAATTGTGAACTTTAGCCTTTCAAAAAAGGCCCTTTGTAATCATTACCAGAGGCATCTGTTTTATTTGACTGAATTTTGAAATGACTACTCAAATTATTTTTCTAGTTCAACTGGATTTGCCCTCCGGTATAAGGATCGAAGGAGGAAATTTGGCTGAACCATACAAGGCACTTCAGCTTCACCTGCACTGGGGCGAAAATGGAGGACCGGGATCAGAACACACCCTTGATGGAGAACAGTTTCCAATGGAGGTAAGAAATATAGGGATGGAAGTGTGTTACTTGCAGCACTACTTGTGATAAGACCATTTTATGTTCTGTATTTAAATAAATGAACTATTGAATTATTTTATGCCACCTACAGATGCATATTGTACACATAAAAGAAGACTACGACTCTTTGTCCCAGGCTGTAAGAGACCGCACAGGCGTGGCTGTTCTTGGATTTTTCTTTAAGGTGATTTTATTTGATTATTTCGCAACAAAAAGTAGAGATCAGCTTAAAATTGAAGTCTGTTGTGAGTAAGATGAAAATCAGGACAATGTATCTTGTGATGGACAAGCATCATTCTTTTGAAAATGTAGTAAAGGTGCAAACACGTCATGTCATAGATCTGATACCCAGGTTTGATACGCACAACATTTTATAATTGGACTTGATCAACTGGCAGCAGTCGTTTGCACTTTTTAAAGCTGTTGCATATCTGGAACAGGGGAGTAGGTCTTACTTACACTCATGATGGAAAGATGGAGAATTATATGAGTACGATGATGCTAATGTGGTAAATTAGATCTAAAAAGAGCTCAGGACTCTTAAGATTCAACTTTGATGAATGTGGAAAAAAATGTTTTAAAAAAAGGCCCAAGAATCATACCTTGAGGTACACCAAAAATATTCAAGCTCCAGAAACATTTTAGAAGTAGAAAATTGCACTCAGTAGGGTGCAGTTCTCCACCACCGAGCTGGTTGCAATCACTTTAGACAATTCTTGTAATTTTAGCAGAGGTGTTTCAGAGGCTAAAAAAAACATACACGTCCTATTTTTGCTGGTAATGCAATTCGTTTCACAGAGCAGACGGAGTTAACCTACTAACAAGCGCTGTATGTGAAATATAGATACAACATAATTATGAAGACTTAATGTATTCTAAATAAACGCAGGCAGCAATTTTCAATCTATGTCATTCTTAACTGGACTTTGAACAGTATTGTGTTTGTCTGTAGGTGACAGCACAACAAAATAGAAAATAACAATAAATACAAAACAGACAAAGACAAGGAAACATTTAACTGTCTATTTAGTCACTTATGATAGAAGCACAAATATCAAGGAAAATGACCAAATCAAAACCCAAAATTAGGCACGCAAAGCAATCTGCAGACGGAACAAAACAAGGTCGCAGCAGGACCCCAGGAAGTGCACCAGGCTTTGAAGCTAGTAGTGGCATACATGTGTATAAAAAATATGCGGCTGATTGGTTCAGTAGTTTGTGAGATTACTTGTGTGTAGACAGATGGAAACACACTCTAGCACCTGTCACACTCACTCACTCACTCACTCACTCACTCTCTCAGACACACGACCAAACACATGATTGCTTCTAGGCTTGCGCCCAGCGGAGATAACAAAGCGTTCACGAGAATCTGCAGTCACCAGCTGATAAGAAACTTTACAAGGGACAGTTTTAAGGGCAAAAAATAATTGGCATCTGTTTGAACAAAATCACAGAGAGTATGTTGTCCCAACTTACACAAAAATATGATTGCTGCAGCTTCTTGTGTAACTTCTAACATTTCATTCTGTCATTCCAGGAGTCCAAGTCTGCAAATAAGAAATTTGATCCACTTCTTAATGCCCTGAAATACATCACACGACCCAGTAAGTCATAGGTTATCTACTGACATGGAAAAATAAGATAACAGTGCTTTATTATCTTCCAGCAGCATTGTCTATAGTGCCCTAAATGTACTGCTGATTGTTACAGCATCAGACTAAAGTGCGATTGTCATTAGATAACACAGTGTCACAAAACACTTTCATCTAACACCTCAACAATAAATCGATTAAAACAATAACGCTGTCGCCTTGAACCTATTTGTTGTCCAATATTGAATTTATAGCTAACTTTATTGTTGTGTTAATATTTTATAAAACCAGCCAACATCACAATACTGAAGGGTGTGTCCCTGGAAATGTTGATTCCTCCCCAGAAGAATATGAACAAGTACTTTCGCTATGACGGCTCCCTCACTACACCCAACTGTGCTGAAGCTGTCGTCTGGAGCTTGTTTGAAGACACCATTCCTCTTAGCAGGAAGCAGGTAATTATTTTCACAGTGTGATATATCCTACCCAGAGGAGAAAAGAAACCGATCACATTCACTGAAATACTGGTGTCGGACAGCTGTTGCCTACTTTACAATGGCAGAGTCAGATCTTACATTCAACATGACATAAACTCATTATATTCCTGTGGTTGAGTAAAAATCTTCCACAAATTATGAACTTTTCAGGAAGCACAAAAATCCTGGTTTCATTGTCATTGTTTTAGAAACTTATCTCAGCATGTAGGCTAATCCTTCAGCTGATCTCAAAGCATCAGTATCCCCACCACATAGAGCTGATATGGTGAATGTGTTGGCAAACAGTTCAATACACCAGCACATACTGAGCGTCATTTGCCTTCATTTGGAGCTGTGTCTGGCAACCCAGTCAATGTAAAGGTCTAGACACACCAGACTGACATGAAAAAAACTAGGGACGATGAAGGCCAACTGCTGCATTGGCTTACGTCGCTGTGTCTCAGCCAAAAAGTTGCAATTGGACACACCCCAAAGACCACAGCCAATGGCCTAACAGCATGTATGTTCTGTGCTTACATGACAGGAAAGAGCTCTCCATACCAGCAGGCGGATGCCAATTTAGTAACCTGAACTGCCCAAAATAAAGCCCACAAGGGCCGACTAGTGCCAATGGGACACACTGCAAAAACTAGGGTGACAGACGCACACCAATGGCCTGACATTGACCAATGGCAAATAATCAGCTTGGTGTGTCAGGGCCCAAACTCCAACATGCTTTTAGCCTCACTATGTTTACCAGCTTGTTGCCAGCTTTGTCCATGTGCCATTTGGTGCTGAGCAGGTAGTGTAGAGAGGATTTTCAGAGTTAGAAAAACAACTTCCTGTTGCCTGATGAGAGCTGTACAAATGAATCAAAGCAGAAATGTTGCTGTGAAACCAAAACAATGAGCTAAAAGGTATCAAATTGCTCTGTAGAAATGAGGTTTGATTTGGGTTCAGTACTACAAGCATATCCATTGGATTTGGTCCATTGTCAATACAGAAATGTTTATTTTCTACCTCTAACTGCATCCACCTTCTTCACCTGTTGTGATTTCATTTTTGTTACAGCTCGCTACGTTCTCAAGGCTGAAGTTTTCTGATGGAAAGCAGATGGTAAAAACCTTCAGACCAGTGCAGCCCTTGAATGGACGGGAGGTGTATTACTCCGGAGGCCATGTTGCTCTGGTTAACACTGTGCTAGTCATCATGTCAGTGCTGGTATCCAGTGCACTCTCCTTCCCTGCCTGTGTTCAATTAACTCAACCTCTATGAATAAATACTGTGGTCTATGTCCACTGATGATTGTCAAATATGTGAAATATAATGTACTATATATTTAAAAGTAATACGTGAATCTACTGTATACTGATAATCTTTCTTTCTTGATTGCTGCAGCAGCTCTATAATGTCTTCCTGAGGGCAGTTTTTAAATTCTTTAAAAGGCAGATGAACAGGACCAGCCCCAGTTTGCAACACTTTTTGTTTTACTTGCATTTAATGCATACATTCCAGTTGTTTCTGCTCTTTCTCGATAATTTTACTGACCATGTTTGTGATTCTGGACAGTCTGTCTGTGTTCTTAGCCCCCCGGTGCCCATACCACATACATATGTTACTGTAAAAGTTAAAATACATCCAACAAGACTCTAAAATGTTCTTGCTTATATTGAATTAATCTAATTTCCTGATTAGATACAACCACTGCATTGCTTTTTAAAAAATGTTGTCTGTAAAACTTTCAGTGTAATCAAAAAGGTTCCTGAATATTTGAACTCCTCCATTGCTTCAACAGGCTGATCATTAATCACAACAGGTGGAGAATAACAGCAGACATTGTGTTGATTCATAATCTACAGACTGTGTGTGATTTTACTGATGTAAAGACAATCTCATACTTCAAAACATGTATCATGAGCACTTTCTCTGTATATTCCAGTTGTGTATTTCACTTTTTGACTCATGGTTTCTCTCTTTTGATTTCTGGAACAAACAGCACTGAAGTTCACTGACAATATTCATCAATTGTTTTTACTCTGGAAGTTTCTAAGTACAAAACAATTTATGGACTTGGGGACTAATAGTAGATATTGTTATATTGCCTCTTGTGATATGTTATCACAATAAACAGACACAGTGATACTTCTGTGATACTATGTCCTTCCTGTCTTGCAGACATTTGTACTCTAAACTGTCCTTTCTTGAACTTCAGGGGTTCAGACTTTGGTACATGCTGTTTTATATCAGTTGTGTGTAAAACATTATGCAATTGATCAATATCTAAATAAAATCTGATTTCATCATTAATATTTTGGTGTTTTTTGGGCATGTTGTTGTTTTCAGTTACAGGGGTGCTGTTATAAAGTTGTACATGCTGGGTTTTTTCTCCATTTTGATGACTGTAATGCACTTCACACTGGCATTAGTCAGACTTTACCTCCACTACATCCACTGTGTGGCAGCAGTGAACAAGTCTGACTGGCTGTTTGACCTCTGCTTACATTCAGCTCTGAGTAGCACTTACATGCTGCACATGCATTTATAAAAAATGCATGAGTATCCCTAAACATTCTATTTCTATGTTTAGGAGTCCCGGGGAATGAATCCACAGCCATGATGTAATGAGAAAGTTACGACATTTGAGTGGACAGAAACAGGAATGGTGGCTTTTTGGTGTATGTGTGTGTGTGTGTGTGTTTGTATGTGCACATAGTTTCGATTGATTTCATGGTTTCAAACTGCTATTCATGGCTACAGCTGTTCAAACTTTGTTCATTTTATTCCTCCTAATGAAATTCTTTGACCGCAAATAAGAAAAATAGCTTTAACTGCAGAAACAATTTCAACTAAGAGGTACATTCACAGCTCTCATTACACAGTAGAAGAGGATTGACTCTGTGTCAACACAGGTGAAACATAATTTAATCAGCCCTAAGCAGTGATCTGGAAGGATAATGCCTCCTGGTGTCATTAGATGGTGCACTTGTTTTTGGCACTTTGACTATCTATACCACGCTAAGTACTCGAGGAGATCACTCTGGATGTAATCCCATGTTGCACAGAAATAGGTGTCTGATGCAAGGACAGTGGCGCAACAGTGCTGAGATAATCTGCAGGATGCACAGTCATGCCGGCCTGCTGCTGAGGGTCAGTTCTTGTTTTCTTTGACAAAACACATACACAACCACGATCACAAATACAGCATTTCTGTGTGAGCATGTGTTGTTTGGCAGGAAAATATCTTTAAGTGTCTCATTTCTTTTAGCAATCTAAACTTTTTTTTTTCACATCCACTATTTGTAACCTGTGCTTCCTCTCATCTGCCACATTACTGTCTGGTCTTTTCTTCTTTTTCACGGTTTGTGCATGCCGCCCATCCCCCACTTCCTCTTATTTTACTTGGTGTGACTCTGAGGTTTGGGTTGTCGTGACAACGGAGGACACAGACCCGTCTCTATTCTATTTGCAAAGTTTCTGTTGTTGCAAGCATATTGCACATTTGCTGCTGGGATAGGGAACAGTCTTGCACCACCATCCCCCACCCACACCTTGTCAGAAACACGCAGGCGTGAGTGAGTTCTCAGAAATATCAATGAGATATGAATCTCTTCCGGTAATTTACACAGAAAGTTTTGGACTCACACCGCTGTTAAAGAGAGACATCTGGCTTTTGAGGACAGAGCTGAGGAACACCGTACTCCCTCTGCAAACATAAATATTTATCATCTCTAAAATAAGCTCACCGAGTCAATACGTCTGCTAATAATCTTTAAATACTTTGACCATTTATCATCATGTTGCTAGTCAAAGTGCACGCCTCAGTGCTACATCAGTAAAAGTATATTGTCCTGAGATAATTGATCCACATTAATTATTACTGGGATCAATATCTATCTGCTGTAGTGTCTGACTTTTTAAAAAGCAGGTGTCACCTTGTAACTATGTCCTTAAAAGGGATGAGCCAATGCTTGGCAGCAGCGGTGCAGTCTGTCCGGGCTTCATGGGCGTAGGTTTTGAATTTGCATGTGTGTGTGTGTGTGTGTGTGTGTGCAGATGTGGAAAGTAAATGAGTACACTTCCTAAACTTTAAACTCTGAAGTACTGATACTGTGAGTATTTTTAGGCCATGAAACTTTTGTCCACTACACTATATTTATCAGATGGCCACAGTTACTTTACCTAATAAGATCGTATATAAAAGCATATATAATACTCTGAAATGTATTATATTGTTAGAACCAAATCTAGTTGGACATATATTCATCTGGAGGAGGTACAGGACTGTACATACAGCACAGTACAATCAATTAAAACATCTCCAAAAAAATTACTTCTCAAAAACATGAAAACATTTTTACATTTTTTACGACAAATAATTCTATACACAAAGTTCAGACAGATTCTCACACTTTGGTACGTGTTTCAAATACTGTTCCCATCACTATGTGTGTGTTTGTGTGCGTGTGTATGTGTGTGTGTGTGTGTGTGTGTGGGTGCATAAGCATGTGCATGTCTGTATACACTTCCCTGCATGTATGGTGTGTGCGTGTGCGTGTTTGACTGTTAGAGCCTTTCCTGTGTAAACCACGTGGCTCAGACATGGTTAATAAAAGATCACGCTCACTTCTGGGTTTTCTTTCTTCTGGGGAGTCCAAACACTGGTAAGACCCTGACAGCAGGAGACTTTATTTAGAAATCTGTTGCTTTTTTTTCTTTTCTTTATTTTATTTTTGTTTTGTATCTCTCCAATTAAAATGCACTCATATACACAGGAGTTACTGCTTTATATCTCAATATTCTCCTATATCTGCATCATTTTGAGCAACATTACTGTCAAATACTGTCGGTGCAACCTGTTTTCATGTTTCTTCATTACCAAATGATGTTAGAGATTCTTGTGTCTTGTTCTTGTGTCATATTTAGTGTGTGAAAACTTTTCTTTAGTCAACCTGTCACGTCTTCAGTGTTTGCGGTGGAGCGACCAGAAGCTACTGATGTACAGTGTTGTCACCCATAAAGTAGAAAGCACTACTAAACTTCACTACACAGTGTAGTGTTTCCTACTTTATGGATGAGTATACTGTTGGCTGCAGAGAAATGACCAAAAAGAAACCAACGAAGGCTACTCGGTGTGGAAGATTTTAAAACCTGTAGGTCTCATAAGGAAACCTGTTGAATTTCTCTGTTGTGTTTGTTTTTTCAATTTTGTTTTGTCTTCATTTATTACAAATCAGAAGGATAATCGTGAATGTGAAAACTTGACAGAATAATGGTTTTAGTAGAATCATATACCAGCACAAACAAGTCTCTGAGATCTGTAAAAGAAAGCAAACGAGCATTGTACAAATTCAAGTTTATTTTCAGTTTCTGCTTTCCAGTTCTTGTATTGATTACATTCATTATTTCCTTTATACAAAGTTTGTTGCGAATTTCTTTCCATAAAAAAATTGCTGGAAAACTAAAAAAATGAAAGAAGAAATATTTTCCTAAATGCCTCATATGAAAAAAAAAACTATGAGCCAGTTATAGAAAATATATAAATAGGTTATAAGGCAAATACGGATTAACTATATACACTTTGGTCTGCAAAATAACTGAGACTAAAGGTGTATTTAAGGCTAAAATAATCTATTCTTTTTTGCCATCAGGTACGATTGAAATAATTACAATTTATTCATATTGTAACATGTTTATATATATGTACATACACTAAGTGTATGTAGGCAGACAAGTATAAAAATCTTCCCTGATGAATCTTTCATGTGGTTTTTGATTTCAAAAATGTATGTATATTCTGTACTTTTATCACCAAATGATTTGTGATTTTTGTTGAACTTTTTCAATAAATCAATTACCTGAAATTTGTATGACGAGAATGCTTTCAATCATTCACATCCTGATCAACACTGGTAATATTTAGGGTCCATTAGTTGCTTATTTGCATTTGCCCTCACTAACTTGAAATCTAAAGCTCGTAAAGTGTCGTACTATCATAAAAAAATAAAAAATATATTTTGTTTGACACATAAAATGTCCATTTAGCTATTGTTTTTGTAAAATAAAAACTGCTGAGCTCTCACTGTGTCTGAGACTTGGCATCTGTAGCAAACATCTTAGCAGGGGCTTTTCTTCTAATTCCAGGGAAGCGGCTGTAGGTAGTTTGATGGAACCAAACCTCGTCGTCCGTGCAGATCCCCCTGAAGAAGAGGTTAAAGTCAAACTTGTGTGCAAAAGTCAGCTATAAAACAAATCAATCTAAACAAATATTGTACCCTAATTGTAGAGGAGACACTCACATAGTAAAAGCCATCTTCATCCATGTCACCTAACGTGTATATAATGTCTCCTGAACGAAAGGTAAGTTCAACCTTTGAGAGACAAAAAGAGCGTAGAAACATCGAATCATCACCACAAATCACTTTGTTGTATTTGAAACAGGAGATAAGACTGGATTAATAGAAAATGGTTGAAAACCACAGTGTGGTTCATGTGTCAATACGCTGCTTACTTCACTGTCCATGTTTGGTGAACTTTCCCACGGGTCATAGTCAAATAAGGCCACCATTCGTCGAACGACCACATCATCAGGGATACTGGCTATGTCGCTTGGATCTGGTGTTAAAGACATACCTGTGGGCCCAAATGCACAAACACTCTTTTGAAAGCAACTTTAATGCTAAAATATAGAATCAATTTGCACATGTCAAAGAAATACCTGCTTAAAAAGTGAACACACTGAAGTAAACGACTACCTTTGAGCAAATGCACTGACAGAAATAATCAGTGGAGTGTTTCTTATAACTTTACTGTAACATAAACTCAAGATTTATGTGTTAATCTTACTTCTTATTTGTTGTAGTAGTTTTTTCTAACCTCCTACAGTGACAAACAGCGCATCAGCTTCTCACCCTACATTACCCCTGTACGTGACTGTTCTAGCAGTGTGTTACAGCACAGTGTCCTGCAGAAACAGAGGGTAAATACCTGTGTGGTCCACAGGGAGGAATCCCTGCTGCATGAGTAGTTGCTTCAGGTACTCATCGTCCACTGGGATTTCAGCCACCATGTTACTTGGCACGTAACCGGAGAGACCACCAGACTCACCATGATAGAAACCATCAGAGTCTTTGTCTCCAAACACCTAAATAAAGCACAGAGGGTAGGTATAGAGAGGGGTAGAGGGTATTACTTTATGTTAGGGTTTTGGAATTTAAAAAATGAATGTTAACAGTTCTATGTCACAGCGGCTGACAGTTACATCAGTCAGATGGAATTGGTGACAGGAAATAAAGAGAAAAAGCTGATATGTTTTCACACACTATGCTGGCCTGAATTGAGCACAAACAGGAAACGCTATCATGTTCTTTCAAAGAAGTGTTTCAACTGATGAAGTGAGGAAATGCAACTTCAACATGTCAATTACACCTGCCAGCACACTTAAAGAGCACCATAAAAGATTTACAAACGATTTCAACTGCTCTACTTTTCTTTTTCTTTTTTTCTTTTTTTTTTTGTATTTATCTTACCTTGATGATCTGGCCTGGTACAAAAGGCAGCTCCTCTGCAGCCGTCTCATAGTTGGGAGACATCGCAGCAGGGTTGTATGGGTAAAGTGCCACAAAGAGTCGGACGGTGGGTATGGACAATTGGCTCGCAGTCTCAAGCTCCCATTCTGTGAGTTCCTCCGGAGTAACAATCCTCACTTCATCTGGGTATATCAAAACATCCAACTCCAGCCTTGTCTCCATTTACAGTGGTGCGACTGCTTCAGTGTCCACTTGGCAGACAGATGGCTGCTGCAGACAGCAGAGCTCTCCTTGCCCTTATCCTAATTTGAGGCAACTAAGCCAAGCAGAAGGAACAGTAATCCTCTTTGAAGCAAGTGGAGAGATTCATTAGTTCAGAGCTGAGTGTTGCACTGTAAGACTGCGCAATGCAACATAATGGGAGTAATGGTTTGTAAAAGAAATCACTAATATGTTATCTTTGATCAGATAATGCCATGTAGTTCTTTTAGGCTGCTTCTGGGTTATATGTGGCAGCAGAGAGATCAATTGATAGTATAATAAATACATTTCTGAGACAAAGCTTTTCTGAATGAGCCTTGAAAAATAATCAGGTTTATTCCAAGTTTTGGAATTTAAAGTTAGAGAAAATAGTTATAAGCTCCTGATTTTCTATAAAATGGTTTAAAAGAAATTGATAATCTTTGGAAACAATCATTTAAGCACAACTGTTGGAATACAGTAAAGCTAGGCCCTTTTTAAAAACACATGATCTGTTTTTATAGGCCTGACCTCTGTGTCGTCTGTTGTCAAAAACTCATTTTTATACAATACCATAAAAAATAGCCTCCTATAGCCCTCTATACATAAAAATCCTTCAGAAGTTGGAGCCATATTGTTACAATATTAATACTATCTGAAACATCGAGTCTGGGTTAAGTGTGATGTGGCATTGTTTTTCTCCTCCACTATTTGACCCAGTTTGCACGTCACTAAAAGACAACACTTCCTCTCTTGACCTCTGGTCAGGTCAGTAGGTGATAATCTCTTCCTGAAGAGGAAGGAAAATAGACGGAGGAAATGTCTAATCGCAGGGCATGCCAATATTTTTTTTTTTTTCCCTTTGGTTAGACTCCCCCAAAAAATCTAGATAGTGATTTTACTTATTCCAAATGTTTCTAATTATTTAAAGATAAAAAAAAAACAACTGGTCTGCTCACTCAATGTAAACGTCATGGTACAAGCAGGCAGTCCAAAACTGTATCTGAGGCACTCTGATTGTAGTTAAAAATCCTTATTAATATATGGATAACCAAATTTAATTAGTAGTCAGGGCTGTAAAGCTCCTATGTGTAGGATCCAGGGGGGCATATTGGCAGAATGTATTTAACATTCATGACGATATGTTCATTAGTTTATAATCACCAAAAAAAAGAATCAGTATGTTTTTGTTACCTTAGATGAGCTGTTCATGTCTACAATACATGTGGTGCGGGTCCTCTTTCACAGTCTGTCATGTTGTCCTACAGACTAGAATGGACAAACCAAACACTGCTTCTAGATAGGGCAATGTATGATTTCACATTTTCTAGACTTTCACTTAACTGTCAAATTAATTTATGCTCTTCCAAATCTCTACATAAAGTCTGATGTTTTTTAAAAAAAATCTATTTGCCAAACAGACATTTTATAAAATGTAAGATGAAACTTTTCTTTTACAACCCCTATAAAAGAGGTGTTGGTTTACTGAATACCAAGCATGACCTCAGTGATGATGTATGAATGAACCCTTAGGTGCTAGCTTTATGGATGGTCACTCTCCACAGGTTGTCCGGTAAGAACAGGATGATGATGGGTAATAATAAATCCAGTTCAAACACCAATTGACGTGCCACTCATTTATTTTCTCTTGGTCAGAATATCCATATTTGAGGGGTATGATGAGTGTGTGTGTGGTTACTACAATAAGGAAATAAAACAGAGAACATGCACATATATTAAAATGTAACAATAAATATTATAAACAGTATGGCATACAAATGAACAACCCCAATTCCAGAAAAGTTGGGATGCTGTTTAAAATGTAAATTATATACAAAATACAATGATTTGCAAATCTGTTTTGACCCATATTCAGTAGAATACAGTACAGAGACAAGATATTTAATGTTCACACTGATAAACTTTATTGTTTTTTGTAAAATGTATACTCATTCTGAATCTGATGCAGGTGCAGCAACACGTTCTAATAAGTTGTGACAGGGGCAACAAAAGACTGGGAAAGTTGTGGAAATCTCAGAAAAACCCTGTTTGGAACATTCCACAAGTAAACCAGACCATATGAAAGGGGCATCCTCAAAAGGCTCAGTCATTCACAAGCACGGACAGCACAAGGTTTATGACTTTGTAGAAAACTGCACAAACAGTCCAACAGTCTATGAAAAACAAAGAACAGTCATAAGAAATTCTGGGATTTCACCATCTACAATTCATAATATAAGCAAAAGATTCAGACAATGTTCCGAAATCTCTGCACATAAGAGGCAAGGCTGAAAACCATAATTAAATGGCCGTGACCTTTGACCCCTCAAGAGGCACTACATTGAAAACCAACATGATTGTATGAAGGATATTACTGTATGAGCTCAGAAGCACTGCAAAGAAACCCACTGTCTGTTGCTGCATCTACAAATGCAAGTACAGACTCAACCATGCAAAGTGAAAGCTACTTATCAACAACATCCTGAAACATCGCCGACTTCTCTGAAAACGAGCTCATCTGAGATGAGCTGACACAAAGTGGAAAAGCGTGCTGTGGTGTGACGAGTCCACATTTCAAATTGATTTCGTGTCCTCCGGGCTAAATCTGTGAAGGTATAGGGCTGTGTTAGTGCTCATGGTATCATGGGTAAATCTCACATCAGTGAAGGCACTATGAATGCTGAAAGGCACCATGACAGGTTTTGGAGCAACATATGCTGATATCCAGACGATGCCTTTTTCAGGGATGTCGCTGCTCATTCCAGCAAGACGATGACACACATTCTGCTCGTGTTACAACAGCATGGCTTCGTAGGTACTTGACTGTCCTGCCTGCAGTCCTGACCTGTCTACCATTAAACATGTGTGAAAAAATTACGAAGCACAATAAGCAACAACAGAGACCCCGGACTGTTGAGCAACTGAAGTCATATATGAGCAAGAATGAGAATGTTGAAAACTTCAACAAATGAGTGCCCTCAGTTTCCAAACACTTCCTGGGTGATGTTTAAAGGAAAGGTGATGTCACACAGTGGTAAACATGCCACTGTCCAAACTTTACTGAAACCTGTTGCCGGCATCAAATTCAAAATTAATGTATATTTACAAAAACAATAAAGTTTATCAGTTTGAACATCAAATATTTTATCTTTGTACTGTATCATTTAGATTGTCTTTTTTAAAAGATATTTACGTTTTTATAGGCATTTGATGCATTTAGTACCTATTATTTGTAGACTTTCTTTCTCCTGTCTGTTGTGTTTTTCCCCTTTTTTGTCGGTGGTGGACCGCTGCATTCAATTGTCCTTACAGGAATAAATAAAGTTGTATTGTATTGTTTGATTGATCCCCTTACACTGACTGGTTGTACTGGGTGAGTGTGCCTTTTTTAACAGCTGGTCTGAGTTAAAACAGTTTTATACTTGCACATTTCAGAGGACAGTCCTGTGATTCCAGAAGCTACTTCACAATAACAGCTACAAACTGTATTTTACTTTCAAAGGACTCACTGCTGAGCATTACGCCTCATCCTCAGACACGTTCATTTTCATATTTGGCCAGAAGAGGGAGCTGTAGATAGACTCTCCATCTCATTTAAGTAGCTGATTTTGCTAGTTTGGTAATGAGTCCACACCTAAACCAGGGTGAAATGACTTAGACGTACTGTGACACATTGCAGTGACTTAAATTAAAGCTGCAGTGATATAAAACTACTGCCTCTGATGAACACAGTCTGCTCTCTGTTAAAAACAATAGCTGCACAAATCCAACCTCACCAGCAGAGTTTGCCCTTTGCATTACTCACTTATGCTTGGCCTTGAAGGCAGGAAGTGCTGTGATATCCGATTACAGCTCAGGGACGCCCTGTGGCTGTTCTGCAAAAATGATGATGTCATGATCAGAAAAAATACATACAAATTTAAAGTCTAAGATTACAGGACAAGGTCTATCCAGGATATGACGTTTCAGAATATGTGTGACATTATGCTTATAGTCAACAATCATCTGGTCCTTAAAATAAATCCAGCCTTCTTGTCAAACTGTGCTCTCCTGGATGGATTAGTGAACAGGCCTACCAGGCTCAGACATACTCACCAGGAAGAGATGCTAAAAGTCCTCAAGGAATCATAAACAACTACTCTTTGCTGAGCATCATTTAACCATTCCCCAAATTCTGAATCCCAAAGATTCCTGAATGTGTCACCATTAGAGCCTCTACCTGTCACCATGGCAGTGAGTCCACAAAGAAGCAGCTTCTTAACATTTAGACTCTTGAGGACACCTCATAAAACTTTATGTGTGTGCCTGTTTGCTTGAAACCAACTCTGTTTTTATGACCAGTCCAGGACCATCAGGCGTCTGACCTCGTTGGTCCGAGGGTCACAGGGGTTCACTCTCCTGGACCGTGAGGAGCTTAGGAGTCTGTGAGAGTCTGTGGTTGTGTTTCAAGCATGTACAGTAAAAACGTAGTCTGATTCAGGTTGATTTTCATACTTAAATCTCTTTATACATTGTCCTCTTACTGTCCAGCCACCACAGTTCAGATGAGGGAAGGTCTGAGTACATCATGCCACAGTAATACTTTGAAGGGAACATGCACTCCAGTCACTAGAGTACATGTTGCCATCGTATGTTTCTTAATACCACAAATACTTTATATTTGTGTGTCATCATGTAGCAGATATATTAAAACATAACAAGTCTTTACATTTTAACAACATTGTGGTTTATGTGTGGTTCTGTTTAGGCACAAAAACCATTGGTTATGGTTTGGAAAAAATCATGTTTCGACTTTAAAATACCCAGTTTTGGGGGCACTGGCTAGAAATGCAGTGATGTCTTGGTTAAAAACAAAGGTTACAATATAATCTTAGTTCTATTAGCCCAGGCGAAGCCCTCTACTGGTCTCTTTGGGTACTGTGGGTGGAGCCTGGTGAATAAAGGCCCTGTCATGACATAACATTGATCCAGCCACACCAACACATTCTGATCTCATATCACAGCTTTGTCAGTGGCCTTTCACGTTTACATATTATGCACAAGGTATCATTCTGCATCTACCAAGCTGGGACGTCAACAAAAGCACATGGCTGGGTTTAGGCAACAAAAAAAACATCTTGGTTTGGCATTTGGGAAACGAACACCATGCTCCTGGGTGAAAGTCCACAGGTTGTTGGAACCATCCACCACCCCTCCTGGCCAGCCTATAAGAACTTTCCAGCATCTTTGTCTTATGTTGTTACTGGCAGCGTTTCAACCTGATGCCATTTATCGCAGCCAGTGCTATCTACTTTAAAATGCAGTAACACAACTCATTAAAAAACAACTGGTTTTGTTGTTTTTTGGTCTTGACCAGTGGTTTGCAGTTGTCTCTCCTAGGTGTCACACCATCAACCATCCACTGCAACGCCAGATGACAAAATCAGCTCTTATACTATGTCACTACAAATATGTTGATATGTATGAAACATACAATAGTTGTGTGTCCATGGTTTGAAGACATATACAGTTCCTATATTTTCTTATGGTGTCTGGGCTGGAACATAATGACTTGTTTAGGACTTGAAATGGAAAACTTAGGACTTGTTTCTGAACTCCATAGACTTTGGAACTGTAGAGGTCCAAGGTGTCACTGGTCCAGGAAGGCTGGATTAAGCAAGAAACATGAAGAAGTTCTTCTACTAGTATGTACACAAAACATAGGCTAATGGGATAAGTTTTTGCGCAACCAAGTCCTTAAAATTGGCTGGTGAGATGGCCAGGTTAATATGCACTTTTTTGTTTTCCGTATTCTAGTTTTAAATGCTGATAACCTTGCTCAGTTCTGTCTCATTTGATTTTATTATGGTGGTATCTTGACATAACACAAGTTCAGTTTTGTGGTTCTTTTGGTTCATGGTTTGGACCAGATTCGGACCAGACTGCACCTTTTAAGTATGTGGGCTTTAGACTATGTGAAACAATGACTTTGTGCAATATAGGACTCAGTCATCTTGATATGGGCTGAGCAGCTCACAGAATATTCTGTCAGAATCTGCCCTGAAGCCCAGTTAGCCACATGCAGGTTGGGATTAAAAGGCAACTCTCTGTCCCACCAGCAGCCCCCACAGAGAGATGCAGTGTCACACCCCACCCTATATCAGTTTGTGCAGGCCTCTGGCTCCAGCATGCAGCCATAGAGGACTCCATTTCCCACAAGGCCTCTAGCCCAGCTGCTCCCATCCATCCATCCCTATATGCCTCTGGTTCCCCATGTATGGAGTGTTACATCATTGGCACAGACACCCACCTTTCTGAGTGATGACGCAGCCGAGGGAGAGTGTGTGAGGAGGGAGGGAGGCAGGGAGGAGGGGTGAGGGAGGGAGAGAGGAGAGGGTGTCCCGTCTGCACGGAGCACAGACAGACAGCAGGGAACAGCTGCAGCATTAGGTTCGCGTAGGATTTCACTGCATTGCGATTTAAAATATCAGTCATTTCATCCCCAAAAACTCCAGTAGAGCAGCTCGACTAAGCAACCAAATATCATTTAAAAAATGGTTGATCGCGAGCAGCTGGTGCAGAAAGCCAGGCTGGCTGAACAGGCTGAGAGATATGATGATATGGCAGCTGCTATGAAATCGGTAAGTCCATCAAAAAACAGATAATATTTATGACTTGTGTGAATAATGTGTTGCTCTCTGTGCGTAAAGGCGCGTCCCGCAATCTCGACTGTGTTGGCTGTAAATCTGGGGGTTACACTGCTGGCTCGATATTACTGCGCTACAATTCTGATAAAAAAAACATTATATTTAATATCTTTATTGTCTTGTCGTCAATTGATCGACAGCTCAGAGCCTTTTTTCTGAGTCGAGTCCAAATCGTCTGCTCCTTGGGCGGTGCCTTTCTGTCGGCCTGCCGTTCAATGAAGGGATATTACAATGAAATGCACCCAGGCCTGAGCTTGATCTCTCGGTTAATAAGAGGCTCGTATCATATAATGGCTCTGCACTATTGCATTTGCTGTTTCCCCCACTTTTACCACCCCACCTCCCCTCCCTCCATTATGCCTAATTTATAAAAGCTTCTGCTGCTGGGAGCCATGTGAGGTTGCTCGGGAAAAAAAGCCTATCAACTGCTGCTGCTGCCCCCTCTTCCTCCTCCTCCTCCTCCTCTTCCTCCTCCTCTCTTTGTCACATTAATTAAAATAATATGCATTATCAAAATCAGTTTATTTGCCAGACTAGTAGCCAAGGCTTAGAGGCATTTTTTGAGCATGATTGCATTATAGAAAAGCTCCAAAAAGAGCTGCTCTTTCCTCCAAACAAACGTAGGAGGCAGCAGAATCTCTCTAGAATATTCTTTGTCATATTGCAGTGAGTCAATATGCTCAGATTTGATTGTGGGCTTTGTTTTCTCCTCTCAGTTTATTCCTCATACATGTGTATGTGCTGTGTTTGTGTCAGATTCCTCCTGCAGCATTTTGAAGTCATTTTGGGTTAATGACCCTGATGAAGTGGTGTAATATTTCATGCAAAGAGGATGACCTACCTCACAGGGTCTGTCTCAGCTCTTATTGGCCCCTACTGAGGACAGAGCCTTTTGTCTGCTTTTCTTTTTTTCACCCTCTAAAGAAAATCTGGGAAGTGGATTCACCAGTGGGTTAAAAAAAAACTGCTGTGTCACACCAGCTCATACTGGAACCAATAGCATCCTGGGAGTCTTAGCAGGGAGCCTGCATGAGCTCACATATAGATTAAAATCACACTTTAAAGGAGGGACATTTTGTCAGATGTTCCTCAGGAGAGATGGAGTGAGCCCCTGTGGTTCGTTTGTCATCGGGGGTTTCTGGTTGCAGGAGGTGGGATGATGTGTGTGTGCAGGGAGGGATTCCTTTCCCTTTACACAATCTGCCATGTCAGTGCGGTCCAAACTAGGCCCTTTTGCCGGGGTGTGTACTCTCACTCTCTAATCAAAGGGAATCCCTTGCCATTGCAGCCAGAAATGACATGGAAAGTATTGACAGTTTATTCTCAACGTAACAGCCTTTTATGCAGCTTTTCCGCGTGAATTTTTATGGAAATGTTTTACGTTTAATCGATTAATCGTTCGGCCTGAGGAATTTCAGGAAATAGCAAAACACGCCAATAGTTAGTAACATCTTAAAATGTCTTGATTTGTCTAATCAACTGTCCAAAACCAAAAGATATTTAGTTTTCTATCATCGAAAAACAGAAAATATTCACATTCTTGAAGCTGAAACTAGTGAATTTTTGCTGTTTTTGCCTTAAAAAATATTCGAAACGAATGGCCGATTGTGAAATTAGTTGCAGATTTATTTTCTGTTGATCAGCTAATTCATTTATTGACTGCTCTACATTCATGCCAGGCTTTTTAGCTGTAAATGAGGATCTTGGTATTTGTCACAGATTATGATTCATGTCAGTGAAAGCCTTGAAATTATGATATTTGTGTCAGTCGGATGCCTTCTCAGCAAATTTATAATATATATCAGCACAAATGTAATCCAACTGACACTACGGTTTGCTTCCCGAACATCAGTGCATTATATTTAGAGTGATGACCCATTTGTTTCCCTTTAAAAAAAAACAGATGAGTCATTTGCTCAACAGAAATCATGACTTCCACTTGTCATTTGCATGCATAGGGTTACAGTAGGCCCCTCCATCTCTATAGCTTGAGCCCTGCTCTTCATCCACTCAGAGTGTGTGACGTTGGTGATCCTGCGCCATCTTTGTGCTCCTCTGCCTGAGCAGAAAATGTCAAAACTGAGAGATGAGAAATGTTAGCATGTCAAGAAGGAGCTATTCAGATAAAAAAGCAGGTGTAATGTTTTATGAAACTATCTCACAAATATTAACATATAGCCATACATCTATAAATAAATATTTTAGCCCATATGTAGTTATTGATCTGACAGAGGCCAACACAAGGTTACCTTTCCAATCAAAAAACCCTGAGTAATACGACCTTTTTATAGCAGCATAGTCTATTGAAAAGCTACCCAACTATCAAACTGATCTGTCAAAATCTAAATTTAACAGCCGAGCCCAGAGTGATGTCACGCCGTGGTGTTTTAGACAGGTAAAAAGGTCAGTTTGAGCCAGAGAGAAGGTCACTGGGACACGTGAACCGCCTGTGCAGTGATGGTTTTCACTTACAGTGCAGCTGCCCTGGAGTGCTCGTGGGAACATTTTAGCCATCTCCAGCCCTCCTTTCCTGTCCCAACCCCCCACCCCAACCCCCACCCCCTCACACTGCCACCGACTTTCTTAAATATTGTGTCTTACTAACTAGTAGTAGCTGTCCACGTGGCAACTGGAGCTACTGGTGTGCTAAATGAGTGGACTGGCAAGTGTAATATTGTTCACAGTCTGTGCTGTGAACTGTGCTGTTAGTCTGAAGTCTTTCACATAGAAAAAAGTGTTTTTTAATCATTAGGGCTGCAGCTGATTGTTTTCATCGTCAGTGAATTTGTCAATCTTTTTCTTGATTTCTTGATTAACTGTTTGGTTTGTAAAATGCTCAAAGCAACTTCCACATTTCTTGTTTTTAAGTATACAGAGAGTAGTAAAGAAATGAACGGAAACAAAGAAAAGAGAGACGAATACAGGTCTTTGGACAACCTTGATCCAGGAACATTGTAGTTTGTTTTCTGTGTGTTAACCCCCATAGCACAGTGGCGCCCCCCAATATCAAAAGCATCTAATTTGCAAAAATGTTGCCAAAATTTGGATTTTCTTGGATTAAATGTTCTTGTTTTCCTCTTCATATAACGTATCAGGGCTTGTGTTTTGAGGCTGGTGATTAAACAGTCCATTGTCTCTCTCTTCCAGGTAACAGAGCTGAATGAGGCCCTGTCCAACGAAGAGAGGAACCTCCTGTCTGTGGCCTACAAGAACGTGGTCGGAGCCCGCCGCTCCTCCTGGAGGGTGATCTCCAGCATTGAGCAGAAGACCTCAGCCGACGGCAATGAGAAGAAGATTGAGATGGTGAGAGCCTACAGGGAGAAGATTGAGAAGGAGCTGGAGGCAGTGTGTCAGGATGTGCTCAACCTCCTGGACAACTTCCTGATCAAGAACTGCAGCGAGACGCAGCACGAGAGCAAAGTGTTCTACCTGAAGATGAAGGGCGACTACTACCGGTATCTGGCCGAGGTGGCCACGGGGGAGAAGAGGGCCACTGTGGTGGAGTCGTCGGAGAAGGCCTACAACGAGGCCCACGAGATCAGCAAGGAGCACATGCAGCCCACCCACCCCATCCGCCTGGGCTTAGCTCTCAACTACTCTGTGTTTTACTACGAGATCCAGAACGCCCCAGAGCAGGCCTGTCATCTGGCCAAGACCGCCTTCGACGACGCCATCGCCGAGCTCGACACCCTCAACGAGGACTCCTACAAAGACTCCACTCTCATCATGCAGCTGCTCCGAGACAACTTGACACTGTGGACAAGTGACCAGCAGGATGACGAGGGAGGGGAGGGCAACAATTAAAGAGAAACCACACTTCGAAAAAAATATATGAAGGGCCGGTGGACTTTGGCAGCCGCTTTTGCCTATGATACTACCGCAGCAGCAGTTCTTTATTTTTCCATGTGTTAAAAGAAAAGAATCAAAAGAGAGGTGAGAGTGGAGGTTAAATCTTAGTTTAAATATATATAGAAATATATATACAGTTGAAAGGGGCCTCCGTCTTCTTGATTTTCTCTTTGACATTTGCCAAAACCACTGATATGTCAGTCAATCAGCCTGAAGTGGTTGTTGTTGGATTGAAATGGCAGCCTCACACTGGCATAGGAACTGATCTTGTTCTGTCAAGATAAGCTGCTTAGATAGGTTTTTGCGTGATAGAGATACATTTGAGTAACTTGAGAGAGAAAATGCTTGAATGGGAATGCCTCACAAAACTAGTTTGCATTGGTTCCAGTAGTAAGGCTATATATGAGAAAGGGCCCTGAAAGACATTGATGTTAAACTCAGATAAGCAATGAGAAAAGAGAACGTTTTAAACCGATTAAACCCCCCCACCCCACCAAATAAAAAAATTAAAAATAATAAAAGATAAATTAGACAGGAGTGACAATGAGGACCTGATAGTAAAAACCAATTCCCCTCGTTAATACAGATTAGTCTGTTACGTCACTGGAACCATAGATTCTTTTGGAGGTGAAGATTACTAAAGGCAGAGACTTAACGATAAAACACACAAAAAAAATTACAAAAAAGGAAAAAAAAAACATAAAAGCAGCTTCAGAGTTTGTGGTTTACTTCTGTGTTTGTTTTATTAAATGCACTTGCCTACTATACTGTTTCTTCAGTGTAAGATGATGACAACAATAATATCGATTATTCAATATTGTGCATGCTGGTGATGTATTTATATACAGTAGCTTGACTTTATTAACTTATACTGTGGGTGTTAAGTATTCATCGGATTGAGAAAAACAGGCTTTGTCTGATGTTGATTTCTAATTTCTAATTTATTTTTGTTTTGTTATGGTTTTTTGATTTGCTATACCAAAATGGTGATCGTAAAAATTGACCTGTAATGGGCGTTGCTATAGTGACATGCAATATGTGTATTTAATTTGTTACTGAGAGAAAAAAAAAAGGATGATAAAAACTCACCAGTGATCACTTAATCTTACCAGCTGGTGTTTGTCACATTAAAGTATGATTATGATATATTTTGTTCTTTGAACAGTATTTAAGTACTTTTTTCTGTCATGCTATCCAGTTTTAATAATGGTGAAGTTTTCAGGCTCAATGTTTCTGTTATGAATTCACAAACATGGACCATATTTTATTTCTGACAGTATACATTTCTTTTGTTTGTTTGTTTTTATACCTTTTAGCTGTTCCTGAGTGACAAAATATCTTGAATGTGAGTCATTATGTAGCAGTTGCACAAGAACCGAAATAATAGCTATGATAATAAAAAAGAATATGACTAAATTATACATGCACCATTTCCGTGGTGGTCTAGTGTATTGTTGTATCGTCACCCATGAGAAAATTTTGTTTCTACAGAAAAACCATTTCATAGATAGCGATGTCTGAACGCTTTGTTTTGTGCCCTGAGTACAGTATGTGCTTTCTTTTTGTGCCTGTATCATTATTTAATATGCCTCATGTGCAAGTTGCAGAAAAAAAGAAAGGATTTATCTGCCAGTATTTTAAGTTCCTGCAAGCATGTGTGCAAGATGTAATATTTTCCTCACTTTTACATGTGTCTGCTCTCTGTACAGCACATAGATATGAATATTCAACACGAATGCACAAACAGTCACAGGGAAAGCATAGGCAATTCAACAGAATTGGTTATTGATGAGCAAATGTGATAATGAAAGTCTTCAGAACAAACTTTAGACACCAGGAAGCTGCTCAAGAGCACAGAAAGCTGCTGAACAGATTTATCTTCATAATGCTGCTACTATTATAGATTATTACATTAATATATTCATACAGATGGCAGTTTATCGGGACTTTATTTTTCCTAATAGATGGCAGTTATTCGGGGAGACTTTATTTTTTATCTCAGATGTGATGGCTTAAGAGAGAAACCAAAAGCCTTAAGGTCGGTCACACATTGTTCATGTATGCCAATTATGTCACCATCATGAGTCAGCCTCCGTGCGCTCACACTGTATGTCACAGCTGCTTTGATTTATTTTTAACGTAGTATAAAGCTGATGGTCTTGAAGGCTCACCAGACAAATAGCATGAAATCCTGATGCCAATCTGCACAACAGCTCACACGGTTTATGAATATTAGGACAGAGTCGAATCTTTTATTTCAATTTTTACGTTTTGTGTGTTCAAAAAAAGTGGAATTTTTTGCTCACTTTATTGTTTGAATAGTTTTGAAAAACCATGTCAGGAGACTTTCACTCATTGCCAAGAATACATGCATTGTGTTCCTTTTTAATTTTTTTTTTTTCTGTGGTTTGTAATTTTATTTTTAAGTTTTTATTATTTTGGATGTTTATCCTTGTTTCTGCTGTGACATGAAAACATACAAAGACAAGAAACGAGCAGAAGAGAAATAGATTTTAATCACATATTAGATGAAAGACAAGCTGACCTGCTGGAAATTAGCAAGAGAGGGCGATAGGGATACAAACTGTATGCTCTGAGGAACTTTTTGGTTGCCATCTGTTGCCCATTAAAGTTATTTGTTTATCGGTATTTATTCTATATTTTCATTTCTCTTTGTGACATAGCCATTTACAGTCATGCCACAAACACCACAGCTCATCTCTTTTCATTCTGTAACTTCATTCAACAGATTTGCAGCGTTTCTGTTGAGTTTTACAGCCTGAACATTGATGCAGGAAGTCAATATGACCTCACATAACCCTTTGTGGGTCACATAACACGTGTGTGCGTGTGTGCATGTGTGTGTGTGCGTGTGTGTGTGTGTGTGTGTGTGCGCGTGCATCCATATCTGAATGTGTGCTGTACATGGCTGCACCATTGCATGTGTTGGTGGGTGAACATATGAGATGGAGTCTGTATTAGCTGCAGTGCAGAGACACAGCCAGCTCACACAACAACTACAGTACGTCTTAAATGAGGCTCTTTTTAAAGTCGCCTCGCTTATCATTAACTAAATTAGGGCATACATCAAAGAACATTGCTTCAAAAGACAGCAGGTTTTATGATCGGAGCAGAGGAGCGAAGCAATAAAATAAAATCCTGCATCTCATGATGGACAACGGAAGGAGAATCTGCTTAGCACAGGCTTTTAGGCTTTTTTTTTTCACATGCAAGTCGTATTTTTGCACCTGAAGCTCATATCTGTGTGTTTCAAACTGGGAGTCACTCTGATTGATAAGCTGAAGTGGCAAGCTGCTGGATCGCCCACCCTCAGACTGCAGCCTCTTGCTGCAGCTTGCTGCACTGAACCTTTCATGAGATGAAATTCTGTGCTTTGAAAGGTCCTCCTTGCCAGCCAATCGCTGACAGGCTCACTCTCCGCAGCCACCAATCCTCTCTCTGTTGCTAGGGCTATAATAAGTATCCCACTATTAGCCCGGCTTCTTGCTGCACTGCTCAGACACCTATTGCATCCTGTAAAAAAATGAAAGCTCAAAGCACACAGGAGGCATTAGGATTCAGCACCAACCTATCTTCCGGCCTGTGTTTTAATGCACTGCTACACTTTCAGGGACGTTGGTGTCATCATTATTGGGAAATGCTGGTCACATTACACATCCTAAAACACACTGGGGCCTACTGCTGCACATGTAATTTAATCTCCAGCAGCTACAGATTCAATTTAGCATGTTTAATAACAAATTTTGTCAAACTGAAGCAAAACTAAATACATCGCCCTCATAAACTAATGTATAATTCATGCTGTTTACATTAAAAATACGTATCTACCCAAACCAGTTCATTTAGTTGATGTATCTACATCCCTGGAGAAGATTATATTTTAAAGGTAACATCTACAGGATACATTCAAAGCAGAAAATTGCTCTGGCATGTTTCACTTCCACATATACAGTCACTGCTCTGTCTGATCACTTTCATCACATGAAGTATTATTTCCCAGAGGGGAGGCTGGGATGACAACGCACAAGAGATCATCGAGTCATAATTATGTCTCACAAAGGCGAATGCCCTTTATATCACTGAATCGAATTCCTCGTTAGCATCAGTGGACATGATGCCACTCTCAGCAGCATCTTATGAAAACGATCCTGATGATATAAAAGAATCAGGTGATGTGATGATTAAAAATAAACTGTGGAAGCCATGGTGTATCTTGAAGATGAAACAGGGAAGTTATTTCTGTCCTCTCTGAATTTCATGAGCTCTTTCAAGTTTGTAGAAAAATAGTTTTGCACACATCCTCTTCCTCTTTTTGGGACAGGTGCAGGATAGCAGCTGGCGAGTATGTAACTACTGGATTTAAAGAAATAGTTCAACCATTTTTTGGGTAATATGCTTTTGCTTTCTGGCTAAGAATATCTATACCACTCCCAAGTCGGTCTGGTAAATAAACACCTACAGCTAGTAGCCAGTTAGCTTAGCATAAAGACTGGAAGCAGTGGGAAACAGCTAGCTTTGTTCTGTCATCAGAATTGCATCTCTGCTTTTTGCAGATGATGTGGTTCTGCTGGCTTCATCACACCATGACCTCCAGCATGCACTAAGGTGGTTTGCAGCCAAATGTGAAGCGGTCGGGATGAGAGTCAGCACCTCCAAGTCTGAAGAAATGGTTCTCTGCTGGAAAATGGTGGATTGCCCTCTTTTTCAACCCCTCAGGGTTGAAAGAGAGTTACTGCTCTAAGTAAAGGAGTTCAACTATCTTGGAGTGTTGTTCATGAGTGATAGTAAAATGGAGTGTGAGATGAACAGTAGGTTTGGTGTGGCATCAACAGTGATGTGGCTGTTGCTTCATGGTAAAGAGGGAGCTGTGAAGCAAAGCTTTCGATTTACCAGTCCATCTATGTTCAATCCTCACCTATGGTCATGACCTTTGGGTAGTGACTGAAAGAACCAGATGAGTTTCCTCTGTGGGGTGGCTGAGCTCAGCCTTTACGATAGCGTGAGGAGTTCAGACATCCAGGGGGGAGCGCGGAGTAGAGCTGCTGCTCCTTCATATCGAAGGAGGCCAGTTGAGGTGGTTTGAGCATCTGATCAGGATGACTGGGCGCCCCCTGTTTGAAGTTTTCCAGGCACATCCAACCAGAAGGAGGCCCCGGGGTAGACCCAGAACAAGATGGAAGTATTATATATCTCATCTGACCTGGGAGTGCCTCGGGATCCCCCAGGAAGAGCTGGAAAGTGTTGCTGGGGAGAGGGACATCTGAGGCTGAGCAAAGTGCTCCAGAGTTGGCCCTGCGACTTGGCCCCTGATAAGCGGATGAAAATGGCTGGATTGGAAGGATGGTTCTGACCAGAGGCAACACAGTTCCCTTCCAGTACTTCTGACTTCTACTAACAGCTCAAACTTGAGGGGATTAAACAAACAAGATAGATATCTCATGTCAAGTTCATTAGTTTAGAGGTGCTCTGATGTCAATGGGGAGTTCGTTCCATCATTGTGGAGCCAAGGAAGCACACTGTCAAGACTATGCAAAGCTGTAGCTGGGGCCTTTATTGTATTGAGGGAGCAGCAAGGTAGTAGCAGAGCAAAGTAGACGGGCTGGGGTGTATGGTTTGATCATGTCCGGGACACAGGATGGAGTGGGGTTGTGTAGAGGAAGTCAGTAGGCTGAAGACTAGCCAGGCTGCTGCATTCTAGAAGAGCTGCAGAGGTGGTTTTGCACATGCAGTCACAGCAGCCAGGAGGAAGTTGCAGTAGTCTAGGTGCAAAATGACAAGAGCTTGTGCCACTGCCTGGGTCAGGAATGTCCTCCTGATGTTGTGGGGTTTTGTTGTCACAAAAATGTTAGCAGCAAAAGACAACTGGTGATCCAGAGTCACACCCATTTGTCTGATGATGAGACAAAACAACTTTTTATTTTTTTCAGTCTAATATCTTTTTTAGGTCATAGCCAGTGTGCCTACAAACTCGTGTTTTTAGCCATGATATGAATGTGATGCTCGGGAGGGCAATGTCAGTCTATTTACCACCACAGACTGTATAAAATAATGGCTACTATGACATCACCTATTGGTTTGTAGACTTTGAAGGTCTGAGTTCGTCATCTTGGTTTTTTGAAGCCAGAAGTGACCATATTTGGATGAAAGGCTTGAGCTGTGGAGGAGTAAGGGGTGAATCTGACTGAGAAGCCGAGGACACTATAGGCAGACAGCCTGTCACTCAAAGTAGCCTGTCCTTAATTATGCATGACTTTAAGTCTTAATTAAATATATACAGGTGAGTTAAATAAAAATTCACCCCTCTTACAGTGGTCATGAATGTTGGAATCAGCCATAGAGACCAAAACCAGGCTGTAAACATGTTTATTTCTGCCGTAAAGTTGGACATTTTAACATTGGGGTGTTTAGGGATTAACTGGATTCTGGAACCAGCCTCAAGTGAACATTCAAGGTCACTTGAATGCAGTTTTGACACTTCCGTGTTGGCTTCATTTTTCAGCCCCGGAGGTTGCCGCTTAGTTTGACTAAAATATTTTGACAAATATTAAATGGACTGTCATGAAATTTTGACTGGATGTTTTTGTTCCTCAGAGGAAGAAACTTACTGACTTTGGTGACGACCTTTCCTCTGGCGCCAGCAGTCAGACAGTTTTGGTTTGGAATAAAACACCTCACAATTACTGGGTGCATTGTGTGGGAATATGGTTAACATTAGCCTATACCTGCTAACATCAGCAAAGCATTGTCACTGTGTGCATGGTTTTTCTTTTTAACATCGGATCACCTGTTTTCTCTAGTCCTTGTTTGCTGTTCTTTATCCAGATGACATGAGGTCAGTGGTTTTTCTCCAAAGGTCACCACAAGGTCTGAGCTGTATTGCAGTCTATTGATTTCCTTCGTTAACTCCACACTGAAGGCAGCACTTCTTGCTGTCTACCAATTCCTGCACTGAAAGGCGTTTAACCTGTGGTTTGGGCTTGTCACCGTGAGCTGTTAATCATCAACCAAACCACATAGCTGTCATGGCTAGTTTTTGGGGCCCTGGGGCAACAAAAACCCAGAAGTTTGACTCACAAGTTATAGTTATTAGTTTTGTCTAAATTCACAACAGGATAAATGAAGCAGTGACCAATCAGGCGTTGGAAACAAAGCCTCAGATTAACAGTTAATTCAGTCATTATTCTTCAGGTCTGTTACCAAACACAGGGAGATTATATTTTCAAGCAGCACAGCCACATAGACACTGATAAAACAGACAGACGCATCAGATTTTGAAAAGTTACTGATCTGACTCAACGTGATCTGCACCTCAAAGATGCAAAGAAGATAATAGCTGCACAGCTCCAGAAATATCAACCCATTAGAGGAGGGGAGGAGTGAGAAAAGAGGGATGGAGGAAAAGAGGGGACCGATGTAGAAGCAGAGAACAGAGACATATCTATAAATAGGCCTCCCTGCAGCCTGTGAGTAGACAGTGAGTAGACCAGAGACATCAATGTGACAGCCACTCCACTATAGAGACTATCTGCCTCTGTATGGATGGTGAGAGTTTGTATCTTCGGTTAAGAGTCTGATTCATCAGTTTCACCTCCAGCTGAGCAAACACACGACATGACATGAAATTGCAC